TGGGGCGCTCCGCGGCTGTGGAGCCGCCTAGCCCCGCCCCGCCCCGGCCTCCGGCCCTGCGGAGCGCGCGGGCGGGGCGGGGCTGTACTGGTCCGTGCCGACAGGGGGCACCCTCGGCTCTCGCCCGCCTCTGCCCAGGTACAGGACACCCGCCGCCCGCCGCCCTGTCATGAGCCCCCAGCCGGGGCAGTGAGGTCCCCCGCCCCCGCCTCAGTCCCGCACGGCCACAGTGTGCCCGGGCCCCAAGAGCCGCACGCCGGATATAACCGAGTCCCCAGGTCACGCAGTATTCAAGTGGCCACGGCAGAAAACATGACCGTGGCTGCCAGGCCCCCTCTTGCTTTTGCTAGCACTGCTTGAACCGGAGGGAGCCCCGTTGCCTGCAGATACCAGCGGCCGGCTGTTCCCTCCCTCCGGCGGCGGGGACGGGCTGCGACCCCGGACTTCAGGCTTCCCTCAGGGCTCTGCAGGTTGCCGCCTCTCTGACCTGGATGTCGCCTTGCACAACCAGCCCTTAGTGCAGGTTCTGGCTGCTCTAAAACGCAGGCACTGGACTGCACAGCGAATTAAAAATCTCACTAGAAGACGATGATGGTACCCGAGCACATCGGAGGTTGGGGGGCGGAATGGTGTGGCTGCACCCACCGGTGATGCTCGGTCCCCCGAGTTTAAGTCCAGGTGCCTGGCAGTGGCAATAGCATTTCTGTTCAGGCAGTAGTATGGGAGTCACTTGACATCTTGGCTCACAATCTACCTGGTCGCTTCTGAACTCTTCGCTACCTGGCTGTTAACAACCCTTCTCCTCTGGAAGGGTCTCCATGTTCCAATAATCAAACCGCGCTTTCTTCCACAACTAGCCGGCTGCTAGTTGGTGATGTCCTTCCCATTTCACAGCCCAGAGAACTGTTTGACTCATACCAATAGTTATATTTGTTTTTAATTCAATCTTAAATCGAATTAATACAGCCTTAGGCCCCTTCCAGATAAGGAAATCTAGTTCATTTTTAATTGGAGAAAAAATGTGTTGTTTTATGTATAATGATGTATCTCACTCGCTGCCCCCACCCCCTTTTTAAAATTCTAGATCTGCCCATGACTATACTTACACTAGCATAAAGTCTGAATACTCTAGTGATTACAGAGGAGTTACTGTGGCATAATGAGACTAGAACAGTGATTCTCAACCCAGACACCTGAGCACCCTCAGGTGCCATGAGATTCTTCTAAAGGAGCCATGCGGTGCTGTGCAACCTACACATGGCTCATAAGATAAACCCAAAGATTTCAAATAGGACTCCATAGTGTCAAAAACATTCTGACCTGTTGTGAATTTTCTGATTTTTTTGCAACAGAAGAATTGCTTTATTATTTTTCCACAGGGAAGGCAAGAAATGAATGGAAGTTAACAAGTCTAACAAAGTGGAGAACCATTGGACTAGGTGTCTGTTTATGGTTTAGGTATTCTTGCATTTACTGACAGTGGGTTTAACTTCGCCATGCCTTGGTTTCTCTACCTAGGAATGATGATTTACAATCCCACAGAATTACCAAGCAGGTTAATTTGTTAATATTTGTGAAGAGCTATGAAGACTTCTTGCAGCCCAGTTGGTGAAATCAGTTGAGATTTGCTCTTAAGTCTGGAATTAAATCTCTTAATTTCTATAGGATGTAATCAGTAATGATGATTATTATTTGAAAGGAAATGATCAGTGAGATGTTTAAGATAAGAGAGCCTTGTCAAGGATAATATTTTATTTTCAACATTGCTTGACAATGCTCTTTTTAATGTCAGTGTTTTTTGGACTGTTAAATCAGCCTGGAGGGAATTGACACTGCATCTCTGAGCAACAGCATCGTTCTGGCTTCTAGCGAGTAGATCAGAAATGCCTGCCTGTATCAACATCAGGGAGCTGGTATAAATTGCCCTATCTCACAGGCTCATAAAGACCAGAAGAGACTACTGTGATCAGCTAATCCAACCTCCTGTACGCATAGACCCCAGAAATTTTTCCAGGAACTGTCTTTTAGAAAGACATCTAATCTTGGTTTAAAGACTGAAGCAGATGTTGAGTGCACCCCTTTTCCTGGTAAACTCTTTTGATGTTTACTACCTTCACTGCTAAGAAATTGTATCTTATTTTAAGGCTGAATTTATCTAACTCCTACTTCCAGCCACAGGATCTTGTTATGCTGCTGTATGAGCAGAAGCGCTACCACTATCAGATCTGTTTTCTACGTGCAATACATTTGCGCAATGATCAAATTACCTCTTACTGTATAGATTGAGCTCCATAAGCCTCACAGCCTAAGGCTTATTTTCCAGCCCCGGGTTCATTCTTGGGGCCCTTTTGTGAACCCAGGTTAGTATTTCCATGTCCTTCTTGGACAGTGAACAGCCAAAATAGACACAAAGGGTGCCTATATACACTCTTGTTTATGTTCTGATTAGAACTCGTTCACTTGCTCATTCATGTTCTGACTCAATATTGAGTATGCTCCACATTCTAATTAGAGCATTCCAGAATTGTTTCACTGTCATTTGTATTAAGCCCTCACGTATTTCAAAATGGCCAGGGGGGTGCTTTATCTAAACCTTGTCAAATGAGCTTTAGATAAAGCATTCCACCGCCATTTTGAAATGTGCAGGGACTTAATACATGTGGCAGTGACCTATTTTAAGTAGAGCAGCTGTCTAGGAACCACACTAATTAAAACAGGCCCTCCCACCCCCAAGCATATGTATAAGCAGTAGGGCTGTGCAAAAAGGAAGCATTTCATTTCAATCAGCGTTTCAACATTTCGACAGAACAGTGTTTCATTTTGATTTATGTTTTGAGTCAAAATGGCTGTTCCGTTTCATTCTGTCAAAACATTTTGCCGTTTCAACCCTGTTTCGACATTTTGCCCATAGGATATAATGTGGAAGGTTGAAACAGGCCATAACTTTGTCATTTCTGGCCATATTTGGATGAAACTTGTAGGAACAATACTCCCTTCTGAGGGCATGATTCATGCCAAGTTTCAAGAAGATACGTGCAGGGGGTTCAGAGAAACTGCACCTCAAAATCTTGAGAGCAAAACTCAAGTTGTGTGTGTATTAAGCCACAGTGGGGTCAAAACTGCAGGGATGCTAGCCCCTGCTGAGGCCACAAATTCTTCCATGTTTCAAGGAGATGGATTCAGAGAGTTTGGAGAAACTGCACCCTGAATCCTGAAAGCAAAACTTGTGTCACATATACGTATTAAGATACAGTGGGGTCAAAACTTCAGGATTGCTAGCCCCTGCTGAGGCCACAAAACCTGCTAAGTTTCAAGGAGATTGGTGCAGGGGGGTTGGGAAAACTGCACCCCAAAATCCTGAAAGCAAAACTCATGTCATGTGTATGTGTTAAGCCATAGTGGGGTCAAAACTGCAGGGGTGGTAGTTTCTGGTGAGGCCACAAAGCCTGCCAAATGTCAAGATGATAGGTGGAGGGGCTTGGGGGAAACTGCATCTCAAGCTGCAAACAAACAAAATTCATGACATGGGTGCTTGTGCAACTGTTTCTGTCTTGAGGCACTGGGGGGGGAAGGGGAGGGACTGCTCCAGGCCTGGCTGCTAAGTTACTGTGTTACCAGTTACCAATTAATCATGATTCACTCAGGGACCACCTCATTACACAGTACCTAGCTACTACATAACAACTTAATGAGCATGGATTAACACCTACAAAACCACAACTAAGGAGAGGAAATAATCAATATAGACAATCAAC